TTACAATAGTAATTAAAATATTCCGTATACTTGGCACACGCGATTCGCGAAAAACGCGTGTTCTTTTAACAATTTAATTGGTTCCGTTTGCATCAAACACAAAGTCCCGTAGTCCCGACGTAATCTCGACGGTCTTTACGCTATTGTCCCATACACCCACACCATTAACAAGTTTCGAGCTTCTTAGTCGCCCGTGCACGACCCTCTCTCTGAAGAGCGTCGTGGTCCTGCGCCACTTCAATCCACAAAGACAGCCCACGAACGTCTCGAAACCGCCAATTAAGTTAGTTACCAAAATCAAGAACTCGAAAGAAGTGGTTTGCCGTGACAAAGAACGAATCACGCGACTTTATCGACGCTTCGCGTCTCCGCGAGCCTCGAGATCGGGAACACCTCAAATAGATCGGAAAATCACGAGAGTAAGATAGGTAGATGAAAGATAGAGATAGGTCGCGCCCACGACTGCTTCCTCGTGCGAAAAATAAATGGACCCTTCCCCTATCTCACAACTATTGCTTTCGACGTCTCCGCCGCGACGGTCGATCTGCGCGGAACGTCGCCGCAGCCCTCGTCGCGATCCTCACGACATTGTCTCGCGCCGTTGACCGTCGGGCGAGTTTCGGACTTCTCGGTCGCTGAAAGGAAAGTCAAAGACGTCCCCGGTGCGTCCGCTTGCCGGTACTCGAAAGCCGCCAATTAAGTCGAAAGGGGAAAGTCCAAGTTCCGGCGATCGCGAGCGGGCGAGCGAGCGCGCGTACCGCTGCGGTTCGTTTGCTACCATCAGAGCGCAACCGAGAAAATGCACTTTGACCTGAATCGGCGCGGGAGACGCATACCCGGTGTCTCTTGTGTACTCGAAATCGAAGTTCGCTGGCCCGCGGTCGCCGGTCGCGGCGAACTCCGGAGATTGTGTCCGCTCCGCTCCTTCGCGACGAACCTGACGAGAGACAGACGAAAGGGAGGAAGGGAGATTTGCCTCGGCAGGGCCAAACAAGTTGAATGCTGCTGGACAACTTTCGAATAGGGTGGCGAGCTCACCGCAGCACGGATGCGGCTACACGTGCCGGTCCCTCTTTGAGAGAAAGACCGGAGGGTGCGCGCGCGCGATCGTGTCCGCATGATAAAGAATTATGTTGCGTTTTGAAAGGAAAGAGCCGAATCTAATCGCATTACGTTTTCGCTAAGAGCCGACAGGAAAAATATGGAGACCTTTCGCAGAGAACCGCGAAACACGCAAAGGCATTTTTCGTTTTTTAAAAAATGAAAATCATCTTATAATTGTGATACTTGCAGTCAGAAGAATTGTTTGCAAGGACGTACGCAAAATGTTTTTTTTTTAGAACAGAAATCGAAATAAAAATCAGATATTTACTTATTTGATTTACGCGGAAATATACGAGTCCATATTTTAATCCATTATAAATTTTTAAATTGCAAATCCTGTACGCCCCTTGATGATTATTCAAGAACGACTTTGAAGAACGTTTGCCGAGGAGATATAACGTCTGCAAGGTAAAATATGAAAAATTACAGATACCACGACAAGTATACCACGACAAGATACTACGACAAATATAGCCCAGTTGCACTAGTTTGCAGCTGTTGCACATGCAACTACGTATACAGAACGGTGTTTCGCCGCGTTCTGCCGCACGAAGCCTCCAAAGTCAGATCACGATTTGCCTTTGGCTCCTGCCAAGCCTTAAGAAGATTATTCAGCAGGTGTGTATTTTCAGGACGCCCAAGGGGCGTATTTTAACGCATCAAAGGAGCTCTACTCATAAATTCACTACTTGTCGAATGAAATTACGTTTCTATATTTACTTCACTATCTAAATAATAAACGTTAATTTGAAACTAATTTCATGATGTTAACCTCGTCACCTTTCATTCAGTATAATGCTTATAGCATAAAACAACAGTTTCTGGCCTATGATCTACCAAAAACGATGAAGTGAATGTTATTCTTTCTTTTATCATTTCTATCTGCATTCTATCCGCATTTCCTAATATATAACATTTATAACGATCATTTTTTTATTTGGCTACTATTACCTTTTATGAAGTTACACTTATATAACGGTAATCTATACTGCTCCTATCATGGAGTTATATGTGCAAAATAGCGATATTCGGTATTAAATTTCTCACGAACAGGAAAATCGTATGAAACTTTAACTACGAATGGCTTTGCTGCGGTAAATGTTATGTTAAATTTCTGCATAATTTTAAGCATTTTGGTTTGAATGAATGAACTTCTTAAGCGAGGAGAAGGCAGAGTTTTTCGAATCCTACCATCGCAAAAGAGCGATATCCTTCGTTAAAAGTAATACGACGATCACTCGATTCGGTCGTATTTTCGAGAGCCTCTCGCGCGAGGCGCGGTAACTGAGAATTCTCGTCGTCATCATAAGACGATCTGTTACCGAATCGCAGGAGCTTAGCGGAGAAATAAGCTCCATCGGCACAGACGCTGAGCCTCTTAGCTCTTGGCTCGAATGAGGGTGAAAGAGGACTAATTTGTCTGCCCGTGCAAGGAGAATTAGGCGAGAGGGGCGAGAAGACTGGCGGTTATGGGTCACGCTCGGGTGTGCAATACATCTGAAAACCAGCCGTCCATTCCGCGGAGTACGAGCGCGCCCGTTGTTTCCACGATCATCATAATCCACCCCTCGACGTTGTTTTCGCACGGGTTCACGCCAGATTCCGGCGACCGAGGCGGATTAAGGATTTTCCGCTCCCTCTCGTGGCCTGCCGCCGACTACTGCTCTCGTCGTCGGTGACAGAAAAAAAAGAACGACCCAATTCGAGGGTTTTTCTGGTTTTAGAGGGCAGCTTTTGCAGCTCGTTGCACAGCAGTGAGTAAAGTAACGGTAACGCAGTCGTGCAACAAATAGCGGTAATGGTATTGTTCGTCGTGCTTCCGTGAAATGGCATACGAACGTTCGCGGTACATTCCATTTATATGTGTACACATTGGCGCGGGTTTGTTCCTCGTATTTCAGCAATTAGCATATAGTCTTCCTCTCCGGTGTATGAAAATATTTTATGTACGGAGTGCTTCAGAATTTATAGGCAGAGACTTTTCAAGATAACAAAGGGAATTCACTGAAACAAGGGAAGAAATTCTAAGACATTCGAAAGATAAAATGTTTTGGTTGCAACATTACAGTATCATTGCAATGTATATGGGTATCTGGACTTGGGTATCCGACTGCTCGTGTACAGGAAGAACTCGCTAAACCGAGTAGGAAAATCCTTTAAATTCAGACATTATGTATATACGGACTAGAGTAAAGGTCTCGTCATATTATTTTTCTTTTAAAAACTGCACTTTATACCAACTAAAATCATAAAACTGACGCTGTGCGTTACAAATCCAGACCAAGGTTTTCCATTGGTTTTTAACATAGATTAATATACACTTTCACGTAATCACAAAAACCGATGTTTATTTGTACTTATATAATTACGTTACTTGATCCTTACTTCACTTTATAATTTACCTCATTTCTGAAGAACACAACAGGGACTGGATTTAAATGCGATAAGATAGAATTTATTAAATTAAATAGAAAAATCTTAAATCAAGCAAGCTCACAAGTTATACTTCCAAATTGTGCGAACACTTGCTACTATAAATGTCTGTTTCATTACGACAGATTTATTCTTTTTGTTTATAAAAATGGAGCATATATATCTTTCGTTATATGTGCTACATGTAATTCCAATTCTGAATCACTTCGCGTTACACGGTTGATGAAATTATCAATATAGAATTTATAATTAATTGCCCATCGCGGATTATATAGATCATCTAAAGCGCGAACGTGAAATTATATAAACTCGAGATTGGAAAAAGTTAATTAATGTTAGCACAGTCTATTTTTTGCAAACATTTAAATTAGCGAGCACATCTAAATTTATATATATACAGGGTGTCTCACAATCACCATAAGATATTTTAATAGCGTATTCTGAAGATAAAGTAAAAAATCCTAATACAAAAATGTCGAGGCTACAATAGTTTTTGAATGATAACCGATCAAAGATTATCGTAGAATTATAATATCGCGTAGCATTCGCGCGCTCAAGCCCATAGTTATACAGCATGCACATCGTTTTATCATTTGTTATCGACTTCACAGTTAATATTAGTTTTTACTATATAGCTGATTCCTGAAAACATTAATAATTATTATTGTTATTATTATAATTATTAAATTTAATAGTTTTACACTTAAAACAAGAATTTTTGCGTTTTTGACAAGAAAAGTAATCATGGAAAATAATTTATTATTATTTTTATATTTTTCACGTTTTATGAGGAGTGAAATCGTATCAATCGTATTTTTCATGATTACTTTTTATGTAAAAACGCATAAAATCCTTGTTTCTCAAATGTGAAACTATTAAATTTAATAATTCTAGTAATAATAATTATTAATGTTTTTAGGAATCAGCTGTGTAGTAAAAATTAATATTAACTGTAAAGTCGATAACAAATAATAAAATGATGTGCATGCCTGAGCGTGTGAATTCTACGCGATATTAATCTTTAATCGGTTATAATTTAAAAACTATTGTAGCCTCGACATTTTTGTATTAGAATTTTCAATTCTAACTTCAGAATATGCTATTAAAATATCTTACGGTGGTTGTGAGACACCCTGTATATATATATATATATATATATATATATATATATATATATATATATATATATATATAT